TTCTTTCTTTTTTTTCTTTCTTTCTTTCTTTCTTTCTTTCTTTCTTTCTTTGTTTCTTTGTTTCTTTCTTTCTTATGTCCTCATTTTATTTATTTTTCTTTCTTTCTTATGTTCCTATTTCATTTATTTTTCTTTCTGCCGACATTTTATTTCTTTTTCTTTCTTTCTTTCTTTCTTTCTTTCTTTCTTTCTTTCTTTCTTTCTTTCTTTCTTTCTAACGGTTGGCCAGGCTTCAAAAAAAATAAATAAATAAAAAAATAACGAAATGTGCGTCATCCGCGGAAGATAAAAATCGTTTCCATATATCCATGTGATTTTTATTTCGACCTACGATCTCTGGAATCATTGAAGAAAAAACGCAACTGTCTTACCCACCAAGGTGGAATCTAATTAAGCAATTACGCATACAAATATCGCAATAGCGGTCTGTCTCACAGTCTACTACTATCTATCGCTCTGTCTGTCTGTCCCAATACAGAGTAGAGCGAATATAATTATCTATTCGGAAATTATATTTTATAGTGTCTGTCTGTCTGTCTGTCTGTCTGTCTGTCTGTCTCTCTCTCTCTCTCTCTCTCTCTCTATATATATATATATATATATATATACATATCGTAGTTACTTCCTATTCTTCTATACTTTTCTATTCATATCTTTCTATCTATACATTTAATTTGTAGACACTTTTGTTTGTTTGTTTGTTTGATTGATTCTTTCTTTCTTTCTTTCTTTCTTTCTTTCATGCTCTCTCCTTTGTCCTCCCTATTTTCTTTTCCTACTTCTTTTCTCAGGAGTTTTCTCTTACTTCTTTGGTTCTTCATTGTTTGTTTGCTATGTTTTTGTTTTCTTTTATTGGAATATGGCATAAGAAAAACGGATATAATTAATTTGTGGCTAAAACGCTCATCATTGAGAGGTATTTGCAAAAATATAGGAATATGTATCACGGAGTAATGGGTAGCGACTCGGATTGAGGAATCGGAGAGCCGAGTTCGAATTCCAATCGAATCCATTACATTCATTTACGTGCTAATACCCTTGGGAAAGGGACGAATCCTCTTCTTCTTCCCCACATCTATAGGTAAATAGCAGGATAGACCCGGTTCTTTAGCCTTGTATGGCAACTGGTCTACTGCAGAAAGAAATGGCAACCTACTGCAGGAGAAAAATCTTCTTCAGTTATGTATCGAAAGATACATGATCGCCTAAGTGTGTATCACGCATGGCACATAACTGACTGACTGTACATTTAATCAAGCACATTATGGGTAAATAGCAAGAGACAGGGTTCTATAGCCTTGGATGGCAACTGGTTTACGGCAGAAAGAAATGGCAAACCACTGCGGGAAAAAAATCAGCCTTGTCAGTCATGTATCGAAAGATACATGATCGCCTAAGTGTGTATCACGCATAGCACATAACTGACTGACTGTACATTTAATCAAGCACATTATGGGTAAGTAGCAAGAGAGACCGGGTTCTATAGCCTTGGATGGCAACTGGTCTACAGCAGAAAGAAATGGCAACCTACTGCAGGAGAAAAATCTTCTTCTTCAGTCATGTATCGAAAGATACATGATCACCTAAGCGTGTATCGCGCATGCCAGATAACTGACTGACCACACTACAGAATAAAACTACCGTATGTAGTCGTGTATAATGCCAGTTTTTATCATCAGTTTTTATTTTTTACGCAGAAATAGGCGGTTGAAATATACACAGCTTTTTTTATTTATTGAAGAGGTTAAAAATCATGCAATTTTGGTGACTGGTTGCCCCATAAACAAGTAAATATTTCTCGGGTGTGGTTGTTAAATTTATGCCCCCAAAATTAACGGGTCATACTATACTTGAAGTCGACTAATATAAGAGTATATATGGTGTTTACTTTTATATGATACGCATATTTTACATTAAAGTTTATTGTTTTTCTAATAGAGGATTTAAATAGAAATAGAACACCTGATGTAAAAGTTAGTTTTTATAATCACGTAGGTTCCAATGCACAGACGCTTAGTTCATTAATGGCTCCACATGGGAAAAAAGTTCTCTTCAAATTTAAAGGAATGTGTTCTTCCGTTCCAAAACGGACAATGGCTCTGAAGAAGAGGTGAAAGATTAAATTTGAGCTGAACACTGTTGCCAAAAGTGTAAACATAGTGTCTTTCTAAGTGTAACAGAAGCAGAAAGTATCGGGAACTAAGGAGAATCGAACTCACTACTCAGTTATAATTGCTCTAACGAGAAAAAGCTTTCTAGCAATTATTCCACGTAGGTTGGGGTCCATGACATGTATGATTATGATGCTTTCCAAAAATGAGTAAATCTCAATGGCCGGCTGCTAATTTTTTTAGGAACTGCTTCGCTGTTCATTTGCATACTGAAATATTTTATTTTTAAAATTAGGAACCACTTCTCTTTTTTTTTAAATCCTTATTTTTTATCCTACAATCAAGCAATCGTTTTTTTTTTGTTTTGTTTTTTTTTTGCGTAATTGTATAATTTTAGTGACCGGTCAGTTATGACTTCATGATAATAAACCCCACATATTTTTCTAGATGTCTCATAGCGTTATTCCATTGTTTGAATTCCCGTAAAAATTGTGGCACATAAATGTACTTTCAATCCCAAAATTCGTGCGGGTTAAGAAATTTATTCTTTAATCCATCGTGTATACTGCTATTGCTATGGAAAAACTAAGGCATGTTGGTAAACTCAAAATTTATTTTTAATTGCCATCTATAACAAGCTGTTAGGATGATATATTCACCAGTAAAATTTTCTTCCCTTGTTTTTTTTTCCTAGCCAGTAATATATGTTAGTTCTCGATTTCATCTGACTCAGTCTCGATCTGTCTTTTCTTGAGGTCAAAAACTACGTTCCCTTGTCCGAAATTTGTTTATGCGTGTCAACCCCAATTTTTAGTTTGTGTTTTTTGTCATCTTACTGTTGCTTTCCTCTATCATTGTTAATTTGCCTTGCATATATTGTTTACTTGCATTATACTAATTTTCGCCCTGTTCTTTTCTTTTTATTATTCATTACAAACTTAGTTTGTTGAACAGTTCTGTTACTTATTTTATAGTTAAACATGGCTATTCATTCTACACCACCAAATGGAAATTACTTATTACTGAGCATACGCTTAGTTACTTCTTATAGAGACAACAGTTATAAAGAGTAGGCAAAATACTAAAGTGAGGCAAAACACTGTTACCCAAGTCTTAAGTAGCGGGCGCAGTGAGGACATTAACGAGGCAGCCGGACCCATTGTTTTTATTTGTAGGTTGGGTGATAAAGAACTGATTGCGGATTTTATTACTGGGGTGACAGAATTATGTTCCGTGAATGTTTCTATTTGTTGTGAGACCGTAACATACCTACAACATGAACTCTTCCAGGACTATATAAAGTATGCGATATAACACTCTAAGAGAAGAGGAGGAAAGAGAGAGAGAGAGAGAGAGCGAGAGAGAGAGAGAGAGAGAGAGAGAGAGAGAGAGAGAGAGAGAGAGTATTCTAATACCGTCGTATCAGTTGCGTACGACAACCAATATTGGACATTAGCACATAGTAAGCTCCGCTTACACTTACACTATCTTTGTAACCTTTTCGTTTAATATATCTTTCTTACCTCTAATCCGTGTTCCGTGTTTTCCTTCCGTGGTCCCAACTTTGGGCCCACATCACTATTATAATAATTTGTCTTGAGCGAACCTATTTGCGCACAAACATACAGGAAGTGACAAGAAAAGAAGAAAATAAATTCGTAGATACAAGATAAAGCTGCCGACGCGGACAATATGCGATACTAATTTTAATTATTTCTATTGTTGAAAGTCATTAGTAGATGTGTTGTTTGTTATTTGTTACAGTTCTCTGTTGATGATTCTTTAGCGCCAGTAAACGATGTTTGATGAAGGAGGGGCCTCTATAAGGCCTACAGGCTCCATTTGTTCAAAACCATTTTAACCATTGATCTACTTTGTATAGAGATGACAGTTTGAATATTTTAATCGGTTTCGCGCCATACATGGAATCCATATTGAAAATCTCGATCTGACGTGACTGTTTAAGAACATGCATCTGTTATAGTCCCAGATATGGGCAAATAGTAAAACATAAAACATATCACTATAACAGTAAAAATAATAAAAAAAATACCAGCAATAATTTTTTTATATAAAAATATATTAACAATAAATATTTATAGCAAAATTAACAACACTACACACACACTAACAAATTGTAAGGACTTCACCCAAATCCGTTTAACTCCTTCCGCAGTGTAGACGTCTATATAACATTTTACCTAAAGTGTCTTTTATCAGATATGGACGAAAGAACACGTCCAAAACATATCGTTAAAAGACACTGCTACAGACGTCTTTATTCTGTCGAACGTAATTCGTTTTCTGAGCTAGAAACGAGTCCAAGTGTCAACTCATACAGCTGGTAGAGGTATTAACCACCGCTCAGGTACCACAAGATGCCTCAGTTTCTTAGTTACTATATTAAAAACAATTAAAAATTTAATTCTATCTATCTATCTATCTATCTATCTATCTATCAAGGAGTAAAGTGTGTAAAAAGCGTAGTAGATATATAATATTCAAAATGATCTCTACAATTTCAACAAATAATTTTATTATTGAGTGAAAAAAAAAATTGGAGCTGAAATAAAATGTAAAGTTCCTCGTTTAGTTGGGTCAGAATTGCGTTTAGGAAAATAAACGCAAGCAAGAATTCATTGTTTTTTACAATATAAATAAAAATGAATTGTGTTAGTATAGAAGAGTAGAGTTTGTTTGAAATAATAAAATCTGCGATCTGTTATGCGTGTGTAACGTAAATAAAGCAGTAGGAAGTTGTCAGGCATTCAGTTAAATATCAACGAATGTACACAGCTGATGGCAACTAAACCCCAAATATGTTGTGTTTTTTTTTGTATTACGTCGCTTGCTGTTTTCCTAATATAAACCGTACAAATTGGAAACAAG